TTTAGTATTGTTAATAGTTAGTTCTGGTAGTGTAAGTGAAAGGTTCTCGGATTTAGATGGTTTAACAAACAAAATATATTTTGTTTTTTCAATAAAACCACTCATTTAGATATGTTAGTACAGTGTTTACATTACAAAAAATATTTTCAAAATTTGAATCAGAAAAGAAAACATTAGTGTCGTCAGCAAAAATAAAATTATTAAGTATTTTTGATGACAAATAAATATCATTAATATAAATTAAAAATAGTAAAGGTCCAAGTATTGATCCTTGTGGAACTCCACAACTTATTGACTCAAATGGGGAGCATGTTAAATCAAATTGTAGTACTTATTTACGATTTTCTAAATAACATTGCAGCCACTTTAAGTTAGAGTGAGCTACTCCGTAATTACCTGAAGTATTACCAAGAAGTGCCCTCAAACAGGTAATGGATTTGAGTACGTATCTCAAAATTTATGTTAAATCAACATAAAATGCCTTTTCTTTGAGAAAGTAAATAATATAACTTATATTTTATTTACTTACAAAGTAAACTATAAAATTTACTTTTATTTGTAATTTTAAATAACAATTTTTTTCAAATTACTTTTATGTAAGCTGTTTTTGCTAATTAGTTACTTTTACACGTAAAAATAATTTGTTGTTATGATGTAGTTTTATTTTAGGGGAAGGTTGCGTAAGATGAACAGGTTCCTAAGATGGTATAACTTCTTTTACGGGTAGACATATAATTTTTTCAGCTATTTTTTTGGTTAAGGATTATTCATAAAAGTTCGACGGTGTTATTTATTTTAATTTCTTGGTTGTAAACTTAAGAATCTTTGTTTTACTGTTAAAAAAATTAAACAACCCCGTTATAATTTTTTATTATTCAATGTTTTGTAATTACGTCAGAATGAAGCAAGATCATCAAAAATTTATTACACCCTCAATATTTCATGCTTATTTATGGGTTACATGAGATAATACATAAGCTGTTGTCATGCTATTTAAATTATGATAGTACTTAAAGAAGTTGCTTAAGATGATACGTTTTTAGACGCTTAAGATGAGATGCGGTTTTTTATTTAGAAAAGCGCGTTTTTTTAAAGTTATTCTTTGCGGAGCTTTATTTCAAGAGTAAAATTTATTTCTAAAAATAGCATTCAGCATTATTTAAAATAATATTTCGGCTGCAAAAAAACAATACACTGTTAACAGCTCAACGCACGCAACCTTACCCTACTTTGTTAAAAAAACTTATGTAAAGTGTTATGTTTTTTAAATAATATATTTACGTAAAATTTACTTCATAAATAACTTTTTTTTACAAAAAGTAAATTACATTTCGATGTAAATTTTTTACATAATTATAACCGAAATTGCTTTTCAAAGCTAATTACTTTACTCGACTTATCATTAAAAGTAAATTACAATTACAAGTAAAAGTAAACGTGCAAATAACTTTTACTTGTAAAAGTAAATTACTTTTTCAAGTACTCATTTAAGTTTTACATGTTTATTTTTTTTTTTATATAATTTTATTTATTTATATAATTTATGTAAAAAAAACAAAAACCGATTTACTTTTAAATGTAAGTAAATTATATATTTTTATATGAGTTATGTAAAGTAATATACGCTTAAAAGTAATTCGCGTTTTTACATCAAAATAAGTAAAAGTGCCATCCCTAATGGCTAGTCTTCATTAATTTTAACTCTTTATGTGAAATGTAAATTGACGAAAACTAATAAAAATATTTAAGTATACATATATATATATATATATATATATATATATATATATATATATATATATATATATATATATATATATTCAATAAAAAAAAATTAAAAAAGATAAAAAAAAAAAAAAAAAGAAGAAAAAGGATTAAAAAAAGAATAAACAATTTGTCTAGATTTATGTGTATCTGCAAATATATGTATATATCTACTTTTGGAGATGAACCATCCTTTCGCAGTGGTTTGGTATTTTTGTTGACAGAAGCGTAAATGCATCAACGTTTGGTTATCTGGCTTCACATACAGCGACACCATCGTATGGCTCTTTAGTTACTTCTGCACAAACTTTTGAGTAGTCTGGAAGTGTATTTGGAAGAACACTAGTGCAAATATATTTTTATTGTGTTCGATAAATGGGATTTTATTGATCAAATTCAACAAATAAGATTCTAATGTTTATATCGACGAATATGATTGAGTAAGCGCAAGAGGTTATATTTATTTTGAAAATTATGGACATTTTTATTGGCATTCTGTTTTTAAACTATTGACAATTTTGGATGCGAATTTAATCTAGAAATTAACCGCTTACTTATGCAAACAATAATCAGTTGTGTGATGAATGAAAGCCGCATACTACATAACAAATAAATAAATTCAACAAAACTTTTGTCAAAAAAGTTATAATTTTACCCACACCGATGGTCTTCTTGGAGTATCTGCGTTCGTTATACTTTATTTTTTATTCTTTATATTTTAGAATTACCTTCTTTTGTAATTTATCTTATGTAATGTAATAAAGAACAAAAAAACACATGGTTTATCCAAATATAAATCCAGACGTAGATTAACCTTTTATGAAGCACCAGCTAGTGTGCGATAATTTTTATTCACATAAAGCTGAACAATAACCCCAAAAACGCTGAGTAAAAGTAGTTGCTTTTTTTTATTAATCTGGCCTATTAAGTTTGAATTTTTTGTTGTGAAATACGGCATGCTCTATTTTATTTTCCCGTTCCTAGTTGTAGAGAGGAAGCAAGGAGTATTTCGAACAGTTAGGGGAATAGACAAAAAGGTCAAAATTCAAAAATTAAGGTTGTGTAATTGTTGGAGCGGGTGAAATTTGAATTTGTGTTGATTGGTATTGGGGCGAGTACGACAATTTTTGTTATCAATGGTTCTGAAATTTGGAATCTTGTAGGAAAAAGATATGCTAGCTTTCTAGGTGATGGTTATTAAATGGATAGCACCTTCTGAAGAAAGTAGAAGTAAACGTTGCCAAAAGTACGATAAAGTACTTGCAGACGAAGCCATGGAGTTGTATGATGGCAATAACTATGATTTGGAAGAAACTGAAGCCAATAACTTATAATGTACTTAGTGAAAATGACAGAGCCAACAAGCAAGATGATTTTACACTAATTGAGAGAAAATGCATGCAGTTGTGCATAAGCCCATCGGCTCAGATAATCAAGATTTAAAACTTGATAAGCAACTCTTTTTCAATAGAACAGAAGGTATTAAACGTCAAGGGCAACAATTCCTTAGAGAAATGAAAAATTAAACACAGTTTAAAGTCCTCGATGTATATTACTGGAATACGTAAGTTAACATACATAATGTATATATATAGTTTTTTGTTTCTGTTTGGGTACGTCAATTCTAAATGAAATTCAAAATTTTACCGCAAAGATTTTTTTAAATAAAATTTTTAAAAACTTGTACACAAGTGTAAATACATGTATGCGTACTGCTTCTAAATTTGAATGCTTTACTATCAAACGTTAAAAACGTATGTTAAAACATTTTTTTTAGTTGTCAAGTGGTAATAATAATAATAAAAAAGCTACTTAGATTATTCTTTAAGTTAAAAAAAATGCTTCGAAATTTTCACTTTCAAACAAATTAAAATCAACAATCATAAGCAATTAGAAGCATTTTCAATCAAGATCAAAAATGCGACCGCCAGCAGTCAAAAGTTGCAAAAAGTAACTAAGTAGTATTTTATAAGAAAATAATGTACTTTTAAAATTCCGGATTCAAATTCCTTTTCATTTAGTGTATATGCGGTATGCTGTGCGCTAAACTGCGTGTTTGACATATCACATATACCGCATATATTTCACAATTGCACTAAAAACTTTTAAATAAAATAATCTGCTTATAGAATATACTGAATATATAACATATACTGCGTATAACATACAAAACATTATTCAAAAAAATATCATTCTTATTAAAAAAATAACTCTAGTTACAAGATAATGACAGCAGATAAGAAGTAAATCCAAACATGCAGTTGCATAAAAATTTAGTAATAAAATATTGCCAAAAAATTCATTTATGACGTGAAAACATCAGAACTGCGAAAAATTAACTTTATTATTAGGAAATTAGCAACATTGCTTTCCTTTAGCGTTCTCATTTTTTTGAATATTGACTTTTTCGATAATATGTGGAACCTGAGTCTTTATTTTGCTTAGCTGAATTTCATGTAGTTTTCTTATAGTCAAATTAAAAGCGTCTTCTACGTTTGTGCAATCTAATGCTGATGTTTCAATAAATAACATTTTGTGCTGGTCGGCAAATTCTTGAGCATCTTCAGTGTTAACAGCTCTTAAATGCTTCAAATCACTTTTATTACCAACCATGATGACTACAATATCTGGATCAGCATGTTCACGTAGCTCATTCAACCATCTTTCTACATTGATAAAAGTTTTCAATTTTGATATGTCGTAAGTGATGAGGGCGCCACAGGCTCCACGATAATAGGCGTTAGTAATAGCTCTGTATCGCTCTTGACCAGCAGTATCCCAAACCTATTAAAATGCCATTTATCAAATAAGGAAACAATTTAAAAAATGAATTTTTTAAAATTACAACATATACACACACATATATATATATATATATATATATATATATATATATATATATATATATATATATATATATATATATATATATATATATATATATATATATATATATATACACACACACACACACACCAATGCATATTTTAATAGAAAACATAACATATATTTGTACTTGAACTTTGATTGCTTTCCCAGCAATGTTAATTGTTCTTGTAGCAAACTCTACACCAATAGTGGATTTTGATTCTGCATCAAACTCGTCTCTTGTAAAACGGGACAGCAAGCATGATTTTCCCACACCTGAATCCCCAGTCAAAACAACTTTGTACAAAAAATCATACGGTTCATTTCCAGAGCCCATCATGCATGAGTGTGAATGGAAATATTAAACTTTTATTTAATATAATAAAAAACAGTATTTAATATTAAATATTTAAAACAATATTAAAAATCAATTAAACTGACAATCCATAAAAATTAACTTGTGAAAAAAATTTAAAAACTTTGCATTAAAGTTATAAATATCAAATTCAGTTTAACACTTAAAAAAACATTAAAAAATCTTTGAGAATCTTTTCAATTTAAATTTAAAAGTATTTTAGTAATCATTTTTAAAATGCAATTAAAATTTTACATATAATCAAATATTTCATTGTTTAATTGTTGCCTAAAGTATATGCTTCAACTTTTTAATGTTGCATCACTTAATTTTTTTGTTGTAGTTAAATGTTGTGTTTTATTTAATTTTTATGTTACCGCTTAAATAATATAGTAAAGTTAAAAATAAAATTTAATAAACGCTATTGCAATAAAAACAAATAATATTTCATAATAATGTAAAAAATATTTTTTAAGAAACCACAAGTCACGTATTTGCAGACAAAATCATTACGCAGTTGTCTAGCTTGTTTGAATCAACACAATCATTTATAAGTCCACCAAACAGTAATACTTCATTAACACCAGTACATGCTGTAAATAACTTTCTGCTCAATGGTGAAGGAGAAAGGTACTTATAATCAGCCCATGTGCATACAGATTTATTTAATACATCCTTGCAATTAAGAATATACATTTGCAGATGACGTCTAGATATAGAAGGTAAATTTCCATTACGAATACGACCACAGGAGCAATTCACATCACTATCTAAATTAAAAATTGTTTTGCTTTAGTACTGTATAACTTAGAACTTATAAATATTGTTTGCCATTTTACTCTACAACTTAAAACTTATAAAAAATGTTTCGCTATAGCACTCTATAATTTAAAATAGAAAAAAGTAAAATACTAATATAAGCTGAGTGAAAAATGCTAAAAAATACTTAATACTGATACTAGTTGAGTGTAAAAATACTAAATATTGATTTTAGCTGGGTGTAAAAATACTAAATATTGATATTAGCTGGGTGTAAAAATACTAAATATTGATGTTAGCTGGGTGTAAAAATACTAAATACTAATATTAGTTGGGTGTAAAAATACTAATTTTTTTTATTAGCTGGGTGTAAAAATACTAAATATTGATATTAGCTAGAAGTAAAAAGGGACATCGGGCAAAATTAACATGAGCATTATCTTTGGATAAATATAAGTTAGATATAAAAGATAAAAATCAGTCAAGGGATGAAAAAGTGAGATAGAAGTGTTAAAAAAAGCACTCCAAAATGATGAAACAGAAAGTGTGGTATCATAAACATGGTATCATTGATACTTAAAACTATATATTGACTTTATGTAGTAATAATAGGATGAAGGCAACAGATGCATCAAAGGTCAGAGTATAATAGACATCAAAAAGAATATAAGATATCTGAATTGAAAGAAAAGTTAGGTGCTCAAAAAAGTGCAATCTGCTGTTGCAGATCAAAATGCAAAAGAGCTGTTAAAAAAATAACAATAAAAAATTATTTTGAAAAGTTTTCAAAAAAACATTTTTGATTTGCAAAAAAATGTCAACCATCAATGCTCAAAGAAGTTTTAAAATATATAAATCTTAGGTATTTTAAAATAAATTAAAAATTCATTTTAATATACTTAGTATTTGAGCATGCTCCAGTGCTCGAAATATTTATCTGAAGGTTGCCGATCAACATTGATTGGCAGAAATGATAAAAAATTGAAAAGTAGATGATCAAATAATTTCCCAATCAAAATTTTGCGCTTTTTTTAATTACCATTTTTATTGTGAACTAAAGATTGTTAAGGTCTTAAAACTTTCATTTAGCAATTATAAACAAATTTGAATTTAAATGCTAATTTAGTAGCTTAAAGATTCATTTTTAAATGGTAAACTTTTTTTTATTAAAAAATTAGATTTGCAAAAGAGGGCGAACGAATTTGATCAACCATAATTAATTTTGGGAGCTCAAAGTAATAATTTTTCCAAAAGTTGAAGATTGTTGATTCTTGATCAACCGTTATTTTGAGTGCTGATGCTCTAAACATTGCCATACAAAAGTAACAGCATTGTGCAACAGAATATAATTTAACTGCAATGGAAACATATTATACTTTAACATATCATACAAAGTATCATAGTCGGTACTATCAATATGTCAAGATCTCAGAGAGTTATACTTTAATGAGTAATCTCCAAGAATAATACTTAAATGAGTGATGTTAAGAGTGATACTTTAATCGGCATTTCAATTTGTTGACTTGAATCATTGATTTCTTTAGTTATTGCATCTATACTTAATATGTATTTTTTCTCAAAAACTAGTTGATGGCAATACCTAGCATATAAAATGACAATACCTAGCATATAAATTTACTGAGTGTTTACACTGGCTAAAAACTTTTCTACTATCAAAATCTTCTCTACTATCAAAAAAATATCAAATTGTGTTTAAGTTAAAAATACCAACTTCCAATTATTAATATTTTATCAGTCAAGTTAGAAAGAACTGCATGCAAGATTATTTGTAGCTCACTGAATTTCTTAATTTGAATAAAAAAATAAAAAGATACTTTAACACCATATCAAACACTTAAATAAAAAAAATATTGATGACTTGAACTATCTGACTAGCTGTTACTTCAGAAAATTACTTTTAGAATGACAAACTATAGCTGAAACTAAAAATTTCTAAATTTCATTTTTTTCTTTTTCAAATTTGCTTTGTCAACATTATAAGTTTTTTATATACTAATTTTAGTTTAAAAAATAATATTGAGAAAAACTGGCTGTAAAGTATAAACTACTGGCTGTAGTTTATACTTTACAGATTATAACAGCAACAATAACGTAGGCAAAACTTTAATACCAATAAATGTTTTCATTACTAACTTACTGAATAATTGTAAACATTAAATGATGCACAAAATCTTGAAAAAATATTATATGTCATTCTACTCCTCATTCTACTCCATGGTTTTCTCCTTCTTGTGCGGCTGCTATATCCAATCGTAATCATTTTTTTCATCTTTTTCAAAAGAACAACTCTCTTGAGAATAAATGGCTATTTATTATTGCAAGAAATCAATGTAAAAAGGTGCTTTCTGATGCTAAACTCCATTATTCTCAGTTCACTAAATCTCGCATCTTATCGCAGAAGTTAGGCTCTAAAGACTTTTGGAAAATCTTCAACAGCATTGTTAACAAGGGTAGATCTAACATTCCATCTCTAATTCATGGGACTGATCTTATTACCTCTCCCAAGGATAAGGCAGAACTATTTGCAAAGAACATTTCTTCTAATTCCACTATTGAATCTTATGGACATTCTCTTCCTTCCATTCCAGTCAAACAGGTTGACCCATTGTTAGACATTCAAATTACTCCGGCTTCTGTTGCTAAAGTCATATTTCAATTAAACTCGTCAGACAATCAGGCTTGGTCAGGAAGCGGGAGCGATCGCTCTCGAATACTGACCACGGAAATTATATTTAGTTGCGAAAAACTGGCCAGGTTTTTTAGTCGTTTTGAGAACCTTTAAGTTTATGTATGAAACAAAAATTTTTTGTTTTACGGACATACATGGAAACATAAACAACTTGAATGTTCTCAAAATATCTTGGTGCGAAAGAATAAAAAGAATATTCGCAAACACTAAAAACCCGCCAAATTAACGAACAAACTAATTTTATTGGTTTATTTTTGAAATGTTTTAGAAATTGTATTATTTACGATTTGTTACGTTTTGAGATTTCTAGCATAAATTGTTTTAAGAATATATATTATTTGTTTACAAAAATAAATGTCTTAAATATATATTAATTAAATTGTCAAAATTTTAAAAGTTTATTATAAATTATAGATTTTATTAGTATATTCTTATTTTTTATTTAAAAAGTATGTATTCTTTATGTAAATGTAATTGTGTGTATCTGTTTTTTATCGTAATGTATCTTTTAAAGCAATTATTATGATTTAAACAAAGACTTACACAAATATTTGCATTTTCAATGAAGTTATAATCGTCTAAATTAATAAAATTATTTATGTAACAAACATATAAGAAGTTTCTGGTTACTAAACACAAACAATGCATATGAAGTAACTCGTGGATGAACAAGCACCGCGTACGACAGAACACAAATATTTATAGCAAATAACTAGATACAAAGAAAAGTTTCTAGATATTGGTTTACTGACTTTTCGCTTAAGTTGCCATTCTTAAAACTTGTTATACTTTAATCTACTTTGAATACTAATTAAAATTAAAAAGCCCACTCACTAAACATCATCAGCGATATTTGTGAAGCAGTTTCGCTTCCTTGTCATTAAGTATTTTTAATCTTTTTAGTTTTGTTAATTTAATTTCTATAGTAATTCAATGATTTAACTATTTCATTTGTTTATCTTACTTAGAAGAATTGCTTCAAATATGTTAAATTTTTCAAACTACGCGAAACATAAAATAGGTATTAAAAAAATAAACTTTTTTATTTATAAAATAATTTAGCTTCCTTTTTAAACAATCGTAAGTAGTTACTTTATATAAAAAACATCGCTTAATTTTATAAAAAAATTATAAGAGCGATGTTTCAAAAATATTTTAAACGTAATTTATTTAGCTTTAATTTTTTTTTTTTTTTGTAATTGTCTCTCATCGGTCCAATTAATAATGATCGCTTTTTTTTTTTTGCTTTTAAAAATGTTCTCAAAACGACTAAAAAATATGGCCAGCTTTTCGCAACTAAATATTATTTACGTGGTCAGCAATCGAGAGCGATCGCTCCCGCTTCCCGACCAAGCCTGGACAATCAATACGGTTTTCGATCCTCTCGCTCTACAGCCGACTTGCTAACTGCTGTAACTAAAAGATTTTATTGTGCATTAGATGGAGGCAGTGAGGCTAGGGCTATTGCTCTCAACATATCTAAAGCTTTCGACAAAGTTTGGCATGCTGGTCTTCTCCATAAGCTTGCTTCATATGGTGTTTCTAGGAAAGTTTTTGAGATTATCGAATCATTTCTTTCTAACCAGTTTATTAAAGTCATCCTTGAAGGCCAACACTCTTCTTTATTTCCAGTAACTTCTGGGGTTCCCCAAGGTTCCATCCTGGGCCCTGTTTTGTTTCTTATCTACATAAACGATCTTCCTGACAACCTTTCATCTAAAGTAGCTCTTTTTGCTGATGACTCAACTTTATACTCATGTCTTGACAAAAAGTCTTCTCTTTTTGATCGCCTAGAACAAGCAGCTGATCTTGAATCTGATCTCACTTCAGTAATAGATTGGGGTTCACAGTGGCTTGTGAATTTCAACTCTAAAAAAACCCAATTGCTTACTGCAAACAACTACCGTAATATGGTCAACATTCCTATATTAATGAATGGCAATCCTCTTACTGAGTCGTCCTCTTTACGTCTTCTTGGATTATCGCTTACTACTGACCTTTCATGGAAACCATATATACAATCGATTGCTAAATTAGCTTCTGCTAAGGTTGCTTCTCTTTATCGTGCTCGCCATTTCCTTCCTTCTGATTCCATTCTCTACCTCTACAAATCTCTTATTCGTCCCTGTATGGAATACTGTTGTCATATTTGGGCTGGTTCTTCTAACGATTCACTTTCTCTTCTTGACAAGGTCCAAAAACGCACTGTAAATGTTGTTGGACCTGGACTATCTGCTAAGCTTGAACCTCTTTCCCATCGTCGTAAAGTTGCATCTCTTTCTCTTTTCTACAGATAACATCATGGTGACTGCTCAAAGGAGTTATCATCTCTAGTTCCATCAACTAAAATTCATTCTCGTTTTACTCGTCATTCAGCTAAGTCTCATTCGTTTACTGTATCTGTCCCTGCATGCTCTAAAACTTTTATTCATCTAGTTTTTTTCCCCGCACTTCAATTCTTTGGAACTCTCTCCCATTTTCATGTTTTCCTGACTCATACAACCTTCAACTTTTCAAGTCTTCTTGCAGCCTTGTTGGGAGTGAATGCAAATAAAAAAAAAAAATATGTATAATGCCTATTTTAACATTTGTTTAATTTCTGAGGGGGCCAACTAAACATGTTGATAATAAATAATGAACAATGGTTGGTTTCCTCCCTTGTGTCTTGGGTATTTATTTTTTTATTTTTTTATTTGCATTCACTCCCAACAAGGCTGCAAGCAACCACTATTAAGTTGGGAGTTACTAGGAAAAAAAAGAACAGAGTTAAAGAGCAAAGAAACGGTTGACAGAAGACTTGAAAAGTTGAAGGTTGTATGAGTCAGGAAAACATGAAGATGGGAGAGAGTTCCAAAGGATTGAAGTGTGGGAAAAAAAACTAGATAAATAAAAGTTTTTAGAGCATGCAGAAACAGATACAGTAAACGAATGAGACTTATGTGAATGATGAGTAAAACAAGAATTTTAAGTCCTTTGATTAGGAAATGTAATATAAATATGCATTTATTAAGATGCGAAGCAGAACCATGACTAGTCTATCCCACACCTTCCAAAATAGGGCAGAGGGCAGGGTAGAGGTATTGAGGAGGAACCCTATAATTAGGAAATATTACATTCAGCACAAACTTTTATGACCACAATCCAGAATTTATTGTGACAAAACAAAAAAAAGCACGTTTTTTTGTTCATTTAATCTGATCAAAAAAAGAAACAATTACTTGCATGATAAATAGACAAAGAAAATAAAAAATCACTTAAATGTTTCAGAAATAAATGTTGTCTAGCGATGTATTTGTATTGCAACTGGTTTTTCAAAAAAGCATCCATGTAGTCAACCATCATGTTTTGTTACACTGTCATTGATAACAATGTCCATAGTCCAATATATTTTGAGGAAATCAGTTGCTCTGCATCTCTGACTAAGCCCTACGTTTTTCATGGATTTGTCAAAATAAGTACAGAGGACTGCACTTTATTTTCAGCTTTATGATTGTTTAGTCCAGAAATTGATCCATAAAAAGCTGCAACAAAATTGTTCAACGCTGTTTTCTCTCTTATTCAGTAGTTTGTAAAACTCATTATGAAGCAGAAAATTTTTGAAAGCAGAAAACTTATCACGTTATGATGTTAAAATAGAAAATTTTACTATAATGCATTGATATATGTGAAAATTTTACCAATGTAAATCCTTAAACTATAAATGAAATTATTGAAATTTTACAACACAAAGCACTATTATATAAGCAAGGTGAAAAATTGTACCTTTTTTTAAATAGCTTTCTGGCAATAAGGAGCCAGAAACTTGTCTTGATCCCCACTAATTATAAAGCGTGTACACAAAATATGTGTGAAAGTAGAAAAGTTCTAATACATTAATTTAAGAAGATAAAATATTTCAAAAAAGTTAATTTATTCCTGTGGGTATTTAATAAAAATTAAATATTTAATAATAATTTTAATAAAAATTAAATAACTATCAAAACTATTTGATGTTTTTTAAATGACATTTTTGATTCTTTAATTTTTTTAAATAGTTTTTTTTTTTAAATTTTTCGTCTAATAATTACCCAGTACTTTGCAATAATACTAGACAGTTTAGAGGATTTTCAATTTTAAAAAACTTTCAGGTCTTTTTTTTTATGCTATCTCATAACCAATTTGCTATAATGATTATAAATCAGGTCAGAACACACACCTACTATCATGTGATTTAGTAGGAGGTAAGAGACGTTTTTTTTTAAAACACGCTTTAACATATATTTTACCAAAAAGTGTTGACTCATATAAAATATGAGTCAACGCTTTTTTTTGTTGCAATATAAGGTGCTGATTTTTTGTCATATCTACAAATAGCTTGCTAAATCAAAGCTTTTTTAGCAAACTTATCATTTTTTGTGTATTAAAATTTCTCATCTGCTTTTTCTCTATATTTGGAATTATAATAGAGAGCACCAGGAATTTGGTGATGATCATACTTCAAATAAATTTCATCATCTTCAATTATTCAGGAATTTTTCGGAATATAAATATAGTTGCCATACAACTTTCTTCCATAGGTTCTTACTTTTTTTTGAATTTCAAAACAGTCAATCACTTTTTGTGATTTGAAAGCTTGAAAAACACTTTGTTGTAAAAGTTTATATCAAACTTTTACAACAAAACAATGAGAAAATTCTCCTATCTTTGTGTGTACCCTAAGTGGATTATTCATAAAACTATGAACAGTTTTCTAACTAGTTTTATATCCTGAAAAACCTCCTTTCCTCCTTTACCAGATTTGCATTTGATTGATTTTATTTAGGAAAAAGGTTAAACAACACGACTAACGATGTAGAAATGTATTTGCAATTTTTTTGCTACTGAATTGTAGCTAAATTCAGACTTACCATAAATTTTGTGCAAAACATTTTTTTTAATGTCTTCTTCTTTTGTCATTTTTAAAACTTATTTTAAGTTAAATGGGAAAACCAAATTTTATTTTTTGAAATCATTACATGTTGCCAACAAAATACAAACACAATGAAAAATATATTAATATAAATATATAAATATAAATTAATCACTGAAAAAAAAGTACGTATTACACTTTAATTACTCTTTCACATTTATTTTGTGTACACACTTTATCTCATTTTTGAGATATAATTACTAAAGAAATGTTTGCTTTATTTTCAAGTGCGGCTATAATGACTTTATTACAAAAAAACTTACTTGACAAAGAACAGATAAAAAAATAATTAAAACTACTAAGACAACAAACTTTTGCTTTAATAGAACCAAATGACATTTTCATATTAAATAATATTTTACACCTATCATCTTGACTTCCAGTACCAAATACTTTTAAAAATATTGAAGCAGTAATATTAAAATGTTGTTTCTATAGATGCAACAAAAATATTCTATGGATGTAACAATATGTTAATACCATAGATGCAACAATAAACTTTTAATTAAAATTTTAAATTAAATTATACAGTTAGCAGAAGACATTCAAACTTCTAAAATTTTGGCCTTGTGTCCACAATGACAAGATAAGTGTAAAAATACCATCTACTTTAAATTATGCTCACAGAGCATGACCTAATGTAGGCGCAATAAAAAAGTTATACCACTAATTTTACAAACAATTTTATTTTTGTTAGTGTGACTAAATTGTGATAATAATTACAAATACTTGAACCTCCTCCCTAAATATGTGAGATAATTAAAAAAATTTTGTTTTATAAACTTTTTTCTTAGATATTTCATAAATGTTTAACAAATAATTTTCATCTATATCATATCAACCTTAAAATTATATTTTCATTTAATATCTCTTCTGTCAAATTTTAATAAAATGATAAATTCATACCTAAAGGAGGGTCTCTTGGAACATTATAAGTTTGAATAGGAATCTTGCAATAAGGACACTCTTTTTCCTCACTAAATGTTATTATATCACCATTAATCATAACTGAAGCATGGCACCACAAATCAGGTGCTTCACTAAAAGCATTGTTTACTTTAACTTGTGACCAGCACCAAGTTGTTACATTTAACAACCATACATCCCCAAATAACTATGAGGATTTAAAAAAACAAACAAATTTATTATACATAAAATTTATTAAAAAAAAAAAAAGGTAATAACTTATTTAAAATAGTATTTAATATCTAATAAATTATTAATATTTAATCATTTAATATCTAATAAATTATTAATACAATTTATGTTTTAAAATATTTTTATAGCATTAAAAGCATTTTATCTTACCGTGTTTGCATCACCACCACACCCACCAATGATAAGTATTGTGGTATCATTTAATGTGAACTAAAATGAAGCTTTTAATTGCATTCTATTATTATTATGAGATTACAACCTTGTTCTTTATCATTTTTTTCCAGTACTTTTTTCAGTTGTTAATTTTTCAAATAACTAAATAAAACTAAAATTATTCATACTTGAGAATGGCCAAATCTTTCTGCTGGCTTTTTACTTTGAATCGGTGGACAACTCCATGTGAGAGTCACCAAACAAAACACCCATACATCATTAAGTCTTGTGAAAACAAATTAAAAAAAAATTATTATTCTATGAAAATTTTTATTAAATATATACACATATAAATATGCTATAGTTTACAATATGTATATAAATATATATACATATAAATATGTATAGTATACAATATGTATATATATATATATATATATATATATATATATATATATATATATATATATATATATATACATATATATATATATATATATATATATATATATATATATATATATATATATATATATATATATATATACACTTACTAAAGCGTGTTTTGATAAGCATTTGTTCATTTTTTCAGCGTACCTTACGCTATACTGTTTTTTTCGAAAAAGAAGAAAAAAAAACAAAGAATGATGAATAAAACGATTGCTGCCCCATCCCAAACCCTCAGTCGATGTAGCAGCACTCCACTGCAAGTCATGCTATTTGTCAGTCGATGTATGTACTGAAGCTCCCAGCAGCAGGCTATTTCAGTATGACGTAAGATTGCTTACCTTAGTACGCAATACTATTTGTATATATATATATATATATATATATATATATATATATATATATATATATATATATATATATATATATATATATATATATATATATATATATATATACATATATATATAACTAAAAATCCAGACTGAAATTTAAAAACAATTATTTCATTAGTTTCTTAGCTAAAGATTAAGTAAAAATAGAGTTTTTAGTTTTTTAATTATTTTAATTAGATTTGTCTTCAACCAGTCAGTTTCTTCATATTTGGCCATTTACAAGATGACCCAAATAAAAATACAAAGTTAAGGTTAATTAGCCCAAAAGTCTTTATATTTTCTCAAGATTTTGAGTCTTGGGCAACACTTCAACACAACTGTAAAGTGTACGTAGCTAGAGTTTTAATAACATATAAAGGAGTGCATCCAAATTTTTGAATGGTTTGTCTCATCAAAACCTGTTTACTGTAACCAAACATGGTTTTCAGGCACAGCACTTAGTCCAACATTGATAGCAAGTATTAAACAATTCGCCATTTTCTTTACTTTTTTATTGTTGATAGAACAAATCTAAGAAATAGATGCTGTATTAGTTAAAAAGTCCCAGAAGATTTAATATGTCACCTCTATTTATTTTTGTATAAAACACAGACATTCCAAATATTTATGTCTAATAAATCATCATCATCATCACCATCATCATCATTGCCATCATCATCATTACCATCAAGCTTTAGCCTTCCACTTTTATATATCTTTTAATTTCAAGCATCTTTTTTCTTTCATTCATAAAATATGTAACTCACTCTATCCAAGTTTTTTGTACATTTATCATTTCCTATAATTTTTATAATTTTCCCAAGGTGTAAAGCTCCTTTACACCTTTTTTTTAAATCTCTGTCCAAAACTATTCTTATCTTGTTAGAGTCATACCACACATCTATCTGATCATCTTTTCATATCTTGTTAAAGGCCATTCTCTTCCTGCCATTCCAGTTAAACATATTAACCCATTGTTAGACATACACATCACTCTGGCTTCCAATGCTGAAGTTAATTCTCAATTAAACTCTTTTACAGCTTGTGGTTCACACAAGATTTCCATCATGGTTTTAAAAAGTATTCTCGAGAAGTGTCTTCATTTTTTAAAAACTCTAAAAATATTTTGCAGACTGCCCTTGAAACTGCCGCATGCGTATTGACCTTATACAGCAATACAAAATAATTAATGGAATTGATTCAATCAGTTTTGTGGCATTTTTTGTGACATATACCTGTACTCAAGAAAAGCAATTAAAGCCATCCTTTCTCTGTTTTATTTAAAATAAAACATATATGACTTCACCACAATTTTTTTTAGGTGTACCATTGTTAAGAAAGGAGAAATCTACAGCACAGATTTACAGCAATATGACAACCAATTGTTCCATTGTCTATTCAGTCAAAAAAAAAAAAAAAGAAGCTATTTATAAAGAGTTTCTTTTTTGGTATGGTATATATAAAGTTTTGGTCTTATATAAAAGCATGTTATTTAATACATTCATAGCATACACAATAACATTCTATATGAAACTGTTATTGATATATAAGAAGATTTGACCAAATTTATAATAAAAAATCAACAACAAAATCTGCAAACTAGTGGATAGTTTATAATTTTTGTCACAAAATTTCTTGGGTAAAGGAGGGTAATAAGATCAGAGAGTCAATGTAATCAATTTTAGCTCTTTAATGTTTAAAAATAGTAATAAATAAAATTTAATTTAAATAAATTTAAATAAATTTAAATTTAAATAAATAAAATTTTTTAATTTAAATAAAAAATAATAATTTAAATAAAATAATTTAAATAAAAAAAAATAATTAAAAAAAAAAAATTTAAATAAAAAAAATTTAAATAAAAAAAAATAGTAGTAAATAAAATTTACTAATTTTTACATGAGATTGCTTGTTTCTTAAGCCTCATCTTTTCTCTTCCAGTAGTTTCCAACTCGAATAGTGGTTGCTTGCAGCCTTGTTGGCAATGAATGTTTAAAAAAAAAAAAATTTAAACTGTAAATTAAATTTTCAGTGAAATAAAAAGTTTTAAGTCTGGCCAAAAAAGAGGGAACTTATTACTAAAAATACCACTTAACTTACATTACGCAGAAAACAAGGTAAAAAAAATGTTTCAACTTTTAGGTCAGATTTCTGCAAATCTGTACCGCTGATTGTATTCACAATTTTCACAAGATGTTGAGAATTCTTTACCAATTAAAAATATATATAAATAAATTCATCAAAGGTTACGCTAAGGAAAATAAACTTATTTTCTTGATGTTATATATTTAACTTAAGTTACACCTTTTACCTTCAGGAGCAATTATTATCATGGATTTTTTAAAGCTATTATTAAATGTTAGATTTTTTCCGCAAGAGCAACTTGCAAAAATTTCTTTAGTATGACAACTTTATTAATACTTATTGAGTCATTTAAATGTGAAAATATCATTGTACCTCTAACAACTACCTTAAAGTTGACTGGGACTCATTCTGTGATTTTCATTGCGATGACTCTTGAGTAGAAATCTTTTATCTTCCAGCTAATAAATGTGCTTCTTACATAACTTCTTGGATTCAGGCTGGCATGGAATCTTTTATTCCCTCTCGACGATTCTAAGTCAAGCCTTACTCTTCTCCATGGTTTTCCTCACATTGTGCTGCTGCAATTTCCAATCAAAACCATTACTTCCAAATCTATCAGCAAAACGGTAGTGGTGTAGTGGTAGAACGCTTGCTTTATAAACGAGTGGTTCCGAGTTCGATCCCCACCACGTCCCTGGTAGTACCGCGCTCAACTCGTTTCTCCGCGCAGCGGCCTTGTTCGTCAAGGTTCGTGTTTCGGAGTTATAGAGTTGAGAGAGGGTTATAACCACAAATAAGTAGCCTCCTCGTCTGTAGTGGCCTTCTCGGCCTTGAGGAGGTAAATTAAAATAAAAAAAAAAAAAAAAAAAAAACAATTCTCCAGAAAACAAACAGTCTGTTTACTATTGCTAGAAACCATTGTTATTAGCTAACCTTCAACCATTATCACATTGTCACAATATTGCTTCTCATTCTTTTTTCTACAAATACTATAATGAGCACTTTTTTAAAGAGCTAGCATCTCTTTTTTTTTCTTTTAAACATCTTCACTTCCAACAAAGTTGCAAGCAACCACTAATTAGAGTTGGAAGTTACCGGAAAAGAAAAGATGAAGATTGTAGAGCAAGATAACAATTGACAGATGAGTTAAAAGATTGCAAATTATATGAATCAGGAAAGCAAGATGAGGAAGCGAATTCCAAAGAGCTGATATTCAAGGAAAAAAATAAAAGGAATAAGAGTTTTTGGAGCACTTAGGAACAGTAACAGAAAAAGGATGAGACTTAATTGAATGACCAGTGACATGAGAATGAATTTTAGTAGATGGCACAAGAGATACTAGCTCTTTAGAGCAGTGTCTCTTGTGCCATTATAGTATTTGTAGAAAAGAGAAAGAGAAGCAACATTACAACGATGTGATAATGGTTGAAGGTTGGCTGCAAGAGCAGGTTCAACTATGCTTACCATGCATTTTTGCACCTTGTTTAAAAGAGAAAAAGGCTTCATTAGAAGATCCGCCTCAGATATGGCAACAGTATTCCTTACAAGGACGGATTAGAAATGTATAGAGATAAAGATAGAATCCGGAGTAAGAAAATGTCAAGCTCAATAAAGAGATGCAACCTTAGAAGATGCAAATTTTGCAACGGATTTGATATATAGTTTCCAAGAAAAATTGGAAGTAAGAGTTAATCCTAGAAGATCAAGGGTATATGACTCATCGAATACATTACCATTCATAAATATAGGAAGGTCTAAACTATTGCAATAATGATTGGCTGAAAAAAATTGAGTTTTATCTGTATCAAAGTTCACCAGCCACTGTGAGACCCACGCTGTAGCAGAAGTGAGATCCTTTTCAAGCTCAAATGCCCCCTCCAAGCAATCAGAGTGCTGGCTTCTTATCATGACAAGAATAAATGGTAGTATCATCAGCAAACAATGCCACCTTAGATGTGAGAATATCTGGAATATCATTAGTGTAAATTAAAAAGAGTATAGGGCCAAGGATGGAACCTTGAGAAACCCCTGAAGTGACAGTATATGAAGAAAAGTGCTGTCCACCGAGGACAACTTTTATACTACGATTGGAAAGGAAGAATTTAATTATCTTAAAGACTAACTGATATCAGACCCGAAAAAATACGGGTCTTTGTAAGTCTATATCAAACTGAACATTTTTATACTTTTTCCTTATATATCCTAGCTTTTCGGATCTATAAAACACGGGTCTTTACCAAACCTACCATTTCTATACATACTATATTTACTTCAATACTTTTTAGTAAAATAACTTTGTTCTGAAAAAAAAACTTTAAGGGCAAAAAAATTAACATGTGCACCTTTTCCGCATATGTAGAGCTTATAAGAGATTTATAA